GATTAAAGAACAAGTTCCAAGGAGGGATGACAGAAACAGGCCATCAAGTGGGCATCCCAAGAAAATGACATGACAAAAAGACTGTTCCCTCAATCTGTGAGCACTTAGGAACCGCAGGAAGTCTTCTACAGGTCAAGGCTCATAACAACTTTTGATGGAGGCAGTGTGATGGTGTAGGGCGTCATCTCCCTCACTTGAAAAACTAAGCTTGTCATCACAGGAGGCAATCTCAATGCAGAGATATTGAGATTAGATTCTGCAACCAGAGGCAATCATTTGGCCCAATATTGCAGAGATATGGTCTCTGCAGTATTGAGCCAAATGCTATCCTCCAGGATGACAACACTTGTCCCCACAGAGCGGGGTTTACCAGAGGCTGCCTCCAGAGTTTGGGAGTGAAGAAGATGGAATGACCTACCTACAGTCCTGACCTCAACCCTACTGAACATTCGTGGGAGCAGTTTGGGTGTGCTGTTTATTCCAGAGTGACCAAGCACATTGGTTGACTTGTGACAAATGCTAGTTGAAGAATGGGATGCCACACCACAGCAGTGTGACCAAGCTGGTGACCAACATGAGGAGGAAGTGGCTGACTGTTGTAAATGTGTATGCCAATTGACAGAGGTGATAACACCATTTAAGGGGGGGGGGGGTTAACAGGCTTTCCTGGAGAATAAGATTTATTGTCAAGAAGCATTGTTACAACAATGCCTCACTTTTTGTGCTAAGTTTCTATCTAAACACACACACAGAGAGAGAGAGAGAGAGAGAGAGAGAGAGAGAGAGAGAGAGAGAGAGACCAGGAAATAACCGTTAAGTAGATTTGATGACGAGTTTTTGTTGTGAGGAGAACTCTCCGCAGTGTGGCGGCACAGAGTCGACACAACCAGCAGCAACACAAACGAAGAAGACTGCACAGGAAGTGGGGATAGCAGGATTGTTGACATAGCCTGCTAGCTTTTGCTAGGTGGCATGATATTTTGTCGATATTTTTCTAAAGTTCTCGTTCACAATGAGCTCTCCAGAGGACAGGCATGGAACAAAACGATCGGCGTCTCCCAGTCAAGTGAGTAAAACGCTTAAAAACTAAACTAGCCCTGGGCGAGAGCTACGAACCACCAGGGAACGGCTAGCGTCGCTGTAGCAGGTTTGCTAACGCTGGGATTCAAAGCGTGATTGTTAGAATAGGAAAGTTTATTGAACTCATTCCCCTTTTTAGGATGACTCAAAACTATATTACATGAACTACGATATAATATTTACTATGTTTTCTCTTTGTTTTGGCCCGAATGTAAGCAGATAATATTTACTTATGTATTTTATTTAGATATTAAAGTCACTGTGGTGTCATTGTTGGGTAATTATCATTTTGTGTATATAAAAAAAAAGAAGTTATGACACATTTATTGCTGTCGATGGAGATACGTGTAAGTCACCACTATTTGAACCTGATTTTAATTACTATTATTGATAAATAACACATGCATTGTTTGTTTCATATTGCACTGTTTTACAGAATAAATCCCGTACAAAAAATAAATTTTTAAAAATGAAACATGCAAAAGACGAGACGATAATAGAATATAAAATTAAAAGAATGAAAAACATTAGAATTTCCCCTTTCACTGGTACAAAGCGTGTTACAGAAATGTCTGAGTGAACAGAGATGAGTTTAGGTTCACAGAAACCTCAGTGGTGCAGCAAGAGCATATTATAAAAAAAGCTGCAAAATCCCAAAATAATGACGCTGTAGTGATATAAGGCCATGTTTATTGTCTGTGAGTAACAACCTTCAGCCATCAAATGCTTTGCATCTTTTCATAAAAAGTGGCTTAAATTGCAACAAACAGGAAAATGCTTCAGGCGTAATGCTAATAAACTAAACTAATGAAAACAGGACTGAAAGCAGGATTGCAGATAATGCACAACTTAATTCATAATTAATGAACAACAAAAAAAACAGGTGAGTTGAGGTGTGGTCAGAAAAAGGGACGTCTAGCCCTGCTGATTAGAAACATTTATGACTGTTTCAAAATAATCTTTCTTTTTTTTAAAGGTAATGGTATCAGAATCATGTTTTTGATTCAGTCTGGCTCTTGATGCTCTTGTTTGAACATCCACATGATGAGAATGTTTGCCTTTGCAGGATGGGGGTACACAGTGGGCCTCTGCTGATTTGGGAAGCGATGAGAGAAAACAAAAGTTTTTACGGCTGATGGGCGCGGGCAAGGTTTGTTTGTGTTTTGATTCATTTTATTGGAGACTCACAGACCAAAGCAAAATAAAAATAGGCCCTGTTACTTCATGCTTCACTGCCTGAAGTTGTGACAGTTAAGGTAAAGTGGGACTGTTGCTGTTTTACAGAAAGAACACACTGGGCGTCTTGTCATTGGTGACCACAAGTCAACATCTCACTTCCGCAGCGGTAAGCTTGTTATTTAGTTTTTGGAAAATGTGGTATTAGCTCTGCTTTCGCAAACTGTCATCCTGCACCTCTCACACATGCTGTGTCATCCTTACGCCCAAAACAATTAAATCGGCTTTGCTACCACACATCCGCCGCACAGGTCTATCCATTCTTGGATAGAGCTGTACTGGCTGGTTGTGCCTGCTGTGACTGGTGTCTCCTCTGCAGGTCAGGAAGATCAGAAGATCAATGAGCAGCTGGAGCTGCAGTACCAGCAGGGAATGGATGGGAAGTTGTCAGGACGCAACCGGAGACATTGTGGTCTGGGTTTCAGTGAGGTGAGGGGTCATACATGCTAGACTATATAGAAAAAAGGCAGAAAACAAAGGTGTAGTAGATCCAGAAACACTTACTTTTAATTATAACTGGATGTTATGCTAAATCCTTTAATTTATTATGTGCGCATCCTGTAAAATCGACATATCTTTTTTTCCACTGTCTAAGCATAAAAACGTATTGAAACCAACCTTAGAGCCACAGAGGGATGCAGTTAGTATGTTGCTGTTATTACTTCAGTGCCAATACCCAATGAGTCCCAGCCCTAATTTGCACTCGAAGGAGATGCTCAGTGTTATTCACGTCAGTAGTCAGTGGTTATTATGATGTGGATGACTGGTGTAGTAAGCTGTGTTAAGATACAATACAGCTGCATATCAGAAGCATCTTGTTTCAGTTTTCTAACTGGTTAGTTTGCTATTCTTCTGAATCTCAGATGACAAAACAGGCAATGCTTTGGATGACTCAAATCATTTTTAAGTGTCGTGAAATTAAATGATTTGTTATTCATGTTTGTTTTAAAACTGCAGCTTGATGAAGATACCGAGCATCCAAATTGTAATACTTTAAATACTTTAGAGCAGGGGTGTCAAACTCAAATACACAGTGGGCCAAAATTCAAAACTGGAACAAAGTCGCGGGCTAACGATAATATTTATTGAAATATATTTATTCCTCCAGATATAAGAATGAATCTTTTCTTATGGACTCAAACACGTTTTGCTGAAAAACTTAATATGGAACAAGCAAAGCTTAATCCTAAATGATATATATATTAGCTGTATAATACCAGTAGGCCAGCTCTGATAGTAATTTGGTATGGCTTCGCGGGCCAAATGTAATTAGGCTGCGGGCCAAATTTGGCCCGCGGGCCAGAGTTTCACACCTATGCTTTAGACTTTAAGATTTGACAGATTTGGAGGTAACTCTATATTTCTTTTCATGTAAATGTTTACATTCCTAAATTGTATTTAAAGTTTTTGAACTACAACTCTCCATTTTAATTGGGAAACCATATTTTGCATATTGCATTGCTGATAATAATTTGTGACAAAACAATTTGGCAGAAATATCTGCCAAATTGCAGAATTGCAGGCACATCTGTTTACACTCTGGACTTTTGGGATATTCTGTTACCAGGCAACCTGCTTCCATGTGAACAGAAGTAATATCCAGTGTTGGGAAGGTTACTTTTAAAATGTATTCCATTACAGATTACAGAATATATGCCCCAAAATGTATTCTGTAACGTATTCCGTTACGTTACTCAATGAGAGTAACGTAACGGAATACTTTGGATTACTTAATATATTATCATGCTGTTTACAACTACATGAATGTACTATTGCTGTGATTTATTACTGTTACTGAAGGTCCGCGGCTCCGTACCGTAGTAAAGGGACCTCTGACTAATACCGTGGGTTCCATGTCGGGCTCGTAGCCGAAAAATAGCTTTACTTTGTTGTGTGGGTCAACTTTGCTTGCGAGAGACAGAGAGAGGAGGAAAACACGAACACAGCGTACAGTCGAGTCTTAATAGCTTACTTACAACTGGGCTCGTCAGGCACTCTTCTTGGCTGCAGTGGTTATTATTATATTTACATGCTTCCAGCTCTCGTTTTTGCTCGATGAAAGCTCGTACTTTTCCTTTTTCTCCCTCCCTCGCTTACAGACACATAACGGGTGTGGCAGTCCATTCTCCCTGCAGCACGGACTACACTGCCTATGATGCTACATTCTTTAGAGCTATACCTGTAGCATTCTGCCTATTAGCTTAGCACAACAACAACAAAAAGGCCTCTCTCACCCAGGAAACACGCAGAGAGAGTCACCCTGTAACCATGGCAACCGTAACGCTGCCGCCTGGAACAACAGAACATAGCAAACAAAACCCAAACAGACCTGACCCACCACAATATGAAACAGGAAAGTACCGTCCTGTAAACAATTTATTTCAACAAAGTAACTGTATTCTAAATACCACCTTTTTAAACGGTAACTGTAACGGAATACAGTTACTCATATTTTGTATTTTAAATACGTAACGGCAGTACATGTATTCCGTTACTCCCCAACACTGGTAATATCATACTAATACTAATTATAAGTAAATCATCTTTTGGCTCTCTTATCCTCAGTCTGAAACCCAGCCAGAGTTGATCCCTTCACCACCAGTGGATGGACAGACAAAAGAAGCTGAGCCAGAGAAGTCCACCAGTGAGAAAGAGCCCACAGAAGCTCAGGACAAAGGCAGCGATCCTGAGCCGGAAGAAAAAACTTCAGAGGAGTCTGAAACCAGTCCGGACAGTAGGAACGAGGAACTGAAACACGACTACAAAGCAGCTTTTGTGAAATCCTCGTAATGCTGATGAGACCGGCAGGGAGGAATTAGTTTTTGTAATATTATGTTTGTAAGTTTTGGTGTTAAATGTTGAACGGTAGGCCGTCATCCATCATAGAGCCAATCGTTAGACTACACTCTGGTGTGCATGTTGTCAAAGAATGAAGTCTGCAGACTGAGTGGCAGTACCACATGATCAAGTTTTTATTTCGTTTGGACATTTTAACAGTCACTGCATTTGCCATGAATTGCGCTGAATGAAACAGGATTCCCTGGCATTAGTTTTGATTGGTATACAAATGGAGAATTTTGTGTTTTCTTGAAAACCAATAAAAATCATTTTCAGTTAAAACCGTGGTGGAATATGAGATTTATAGGACTGAAAAATACATTTTGAACATTCTGTTCAAAACTGCAGCCAAGTCAATTTTACACTCATTTTAAGTGTCTCAATGTAAAACCAAAATATTGTCTCTCTTCAGCACGATTTTTTTTTCTATCCACAGTTTTGGGCATCAGTATTAAAGCTTGAACAGCAAAACTGCACCACATTTGTTTTCCAATAATTCATTTGAGAAAACTTTAAATTTTCCATTTTGGGTAAAGATTTAAATTTTCATTCTTTTCAGATTTGGTTGATCTATTATGGAATAATGAAAAGTCACAATGTGACTAAAAAGTGAAGAAATCTGGTGTCAGAGTGGATCGCAAAGAAGTCCGTAAAATCAGTGAAGAGAATGGTGTAGAAAATACTGGTTGTGATTTTCAGGCCCACATGCAGGCCTGTGTCCTAATGCAGAGTTATTACGATAACGTTTTGTGCTGGATGCAGTAGAGCATCTCCGGAGGTACACGTCAAACCCTCCCTTGAAGCAGATGGGCTACAGCAGCAGCAGACCACACTGTGTGGCACTCCTGTCAGCTAAGAACAGGAAACGCAGGCTACATTCTAGCACGGGCTCACCAAAGTTGGACGACAGAAGGAGGATTTCTGGATGAATCTTGCTTTCTGTTGCGCGATCTGGATGGTATAGTCAGAATTCGGCACACACTGCATGGATGTATGGATCTATCTTGCCTTGTGTCAGTGGTTCAGGGTGATGGTGTTGGAAATATTGACTTGGCACTCCGGGGCTCCTTGGCACCAACTGAGCATCTTTAAAACAGCACAGGCTGCCTGAGTATCCTTGCTAATCACATTCTTCATAAAGGGACCAGTGTACCCATCTTGTGATGGTTTCTTCCAAATGAAATAGAGAAACATGTCAGTTGATATAGATACCTTCTCAGTGTTCTGTATGAATAAATCTTCATGGTTTCTGTGATTTTCAGGCACAGTCCTATAACTGTAAATCCCCTTTAATGAAACCTTAACCGGGGTGTTTCTTCAATTCATGCCATGGTAATTATTCAGTTATAGATAATAACCAATTGGATGGTGGAAAATGTTAGTCCCAAGGGAAATACATTGGTGATACAGGAGATTCTTGCCGTTTTGCCACTAAGAGGTCAAAATTTCCACTCATTGATGACTCATAACTGGAAATTTATCTAGAATGTACTGTGCCTCTCACCCAGTCTCAGCTAAAGTAGGCTCCAAACAGCAAAGACTATCAGGTTAAAGCTGGTCTCTATTTCTAACAAAGTGTATACCAAGCTGTACATCACACATGCAGTTGGTGAAACGGTTAACAGTGAACACGAGGACGGACATATTGAGGCTGCATCAAGGAGAGTGATGACATAAGATGAACAAATGTGATGGTGAAAACATATTTACTTGCAGGCATTGCGAAAACTCTCTGTGTAAAAGTTTGCTCTTGCATGGGCGGAGGGGCGGGTTAACCAGGATATCCAACTCCTTATAGCTTCCTCAAAACAAACAAGAATTTCAGATTTTGGCAAATAAACTTGTGCTGATATTTGATGGCCTGTATGAGTGGGGGCTGTCTGGTCTTGTATTTCAGAGCAAGTTTTGGTGGATGTTCTTCTGACAAATCTGTTGGAGGAGAACCTGTTGCTCTGTGCACATCTGGATTACCACCAGTCCCACAACTGCAAATTGCATTCTAGGTGACTGTGTTGTTTGAGGTACCAGGATTTAAGGATCCACAGAGGGAAGACTACTTCAGGAAAAAATAAATACATTTCAGATTAAAAGATTACCAGTAGAGTCATTTTGCATATTCAGTCAACCACAAACAAATGTGTCTTGTTGCTTCAGACTTTAGTCATCCAATCTAATAAACACCAAAAGAGTCAATAGCAGAATAATTGGTTTGGCTGAGAAGATTTGGGACATTTTTCATGGGGGCAACCCCCCCTTAGTTTATTTACATATATAAAAAATATTAGCCACCGGTAGCATTTCTTGATGTCACCCACTTCCTCTGTCTGTCGATGGTACATTACATGCAGGGATAGGCTTCCACAAGAGTTCCTCCTCTTGTTCCTTATCACCATCTGTCTGCAGCTCATCTTTCTGATGTACTCGTAGATGCTCCGTTTCATCTTGTATTGTGACTCTGACACTCCCCACATATTCCCTCCTTCTGTTGCTCTTAGAGCCTCAGGGTGCTGGAGTTCTGTGCATTGTCGGGAGTTTTCATATCTTGGCATCAGTGGCATCCATCTCGTCATGTGGCCAGCTTATTATTCCAGCTAGTATCTGATGACTGGTAGGGCTGCACAGATGGTTTGGATCTTGTTCCTGCCATTGAGCTGGATTCCCAGCAACTGACTTACCTTCTGGAGATATGTGGCTGTGGCTGACCTTTATGCATCTTCATTAGAATTCCTGTTGGCCTGTGGGACACTCAGGTACTTGTAGCTGTCCTGTATATCTGGTATACTCCCTTCTAGCATGCATTCATTCCGCATTATCTTCCCTTCCTTTGCAACAATTTGTCTACACTTATTCAGTCCAAATTAGATTCTGATGTCTTCACTGTAGAAGCTGGTGATATAGATCAGTGCGTTTATGTCTCCCTGGAATGCAGCTTGATGTCATCCATGTACAGAAAGTGTCTGATGGTCCTTCCACTTCTGAATCTATATCCATATCCACTTTTAGTGACGAGCTAGCTTCAGGGGTGGAGGCCTGTGCAGAACAGTAGGGACAGTGCATCACCTTGGTGTATTCTGCACTTCATAGTAACTTCTGTGATTGCCTTGGAGTTGGTCTCTCACAGTCCCAGCAAGTTCCTGATGAATGTTATCGGCATACTATTAGCCTTTTACAGTGCCAAGCACTCCAGGATCCATCTGTGGGGTAGTGAGTCGTAAGCTTTCTTTTAGTCAATCCAGGCAGTGCTCAGGTTGGCTCATCTGGTCTTAGAGTCCTGGTCTACTGTACTATTCACCAAGCAATTCAATTTTATTTATATAGTGTAAAATCAGAACTACACGCCAAAGCCTTAAGTTTGTAAGGTAAAGACGCTACAGTAATACAGAGAAAACCACAACAATCATATGACACCCTGTGAGCAAGCATTTGGCAACAGTGGGAAGGAAAAACTCCCTATTAACAGGAAGAAACCTCCAGCAGAACCAGGCTCAGCGAGGGGCGCCCATCTGCCACGAAGGCTTAATATTGTTGGAAAATAAATTAGATTATGTTTATATGTATTCTCTAATATGCTTTATTCAACTTAAGTTGATGAATATATATCCAGAAAATAATATTTTTTAAAAATGAAAAAAAAAAGACAAGTAAACATTTTCAATCTTAATATTTATTTTTGTAATAACTTCTTTTAATGTGTTAAACTGTATTATTTTTTTAATGCTTTTGTGATGACTGACGGGTTCTGGATCATCAAGTGACAGTGCTGGGAAAGTATACGAAGCCCATGAAGCTAAACACTGCAATAAATAATGGTCAAAGTGATCTCGCTGCAATTTAAAACTGAAATCCAGCTGAAATTAAATCCAGCTAAAACTTTCATGTCAACAGTACAGGTAAGTAAATGTAGAGTTTAAAAAAGCAACTAACTTGTGTTAAAAATAATTACTTAAATGTGCAGTGTAATTGCAGAAGCAAGAAAACCTGATACCACTTCAGAAATATGAATGAAAAACTCTTGAAAAAATGTGTTTAGTCCTCAATCATTAAAAAAAGGCATTTGTTATATGTAAATCAGTCCACTTCCAATGATTAGATCCTTCCAGTTCAAGCTCCTTTCACAAAGACTCCGTTTTGTTGCACCGGTCGTTCCTGTGGATCAGTGGTCTGCAGTAGCTCTTGCTGGAGGAAAGAAAAAGAAAAGTTGTTTCATCAGTAGATTTTACTGCACTCATATTTTATTACCAAAACACACACATACACATATATATAAAAACACTGACAGATTTTAACAGTGATAAATCCACAAAACTGTTCAGGAACATTTCAAAGATTACACAAAACAAACAAAGGCACTGATCCAACATCAACACTTCCTAAATCCCAATCTGAGTGTCAGTGGGAGGCACCTGAATATCGTTAGCTTCATAGCATAAGTGCCTAAGTCATTTTTTGGTCAAATTGAGATTTTTGCCTAACTTTACTCCCCTACCACTGCTGCATCATCCTGTCCGTCTGAAACACAAAACACAAAAAAATGACTTAGGCACTTATGCTATGAAGCTAACGATATGCTCAATCCACAGAGGACCCACCCAGCAAATCTCACGACTCAAAGTCTCCAATGGCCACAGGACCACCCTGAGGTCTACACAGCAGATTATTCTGTGCAGAATACAAACATATTTCCAGCAAACAAGATGTAGGATTATTTTCCCCTCAAAAAATATGTCCCTTGTAAACAGTTTATGCATACGTGGAGGAGCCCTGAATCAGGTGCCTATCAACATTACTTTGGACATAAAACCAAACAAAAGACATCATTTGATTGAACTGTTTGATGCAGGTCAAACAGTTCAATCAGCTGCTTTTAAAGATCAACAGTCCACCTGTACCAAAACACCACTGGAATCAGAAAGGCCACAATGGTTTCACCAAAGCAGCATCTCCACTTCATTCGAAATGATTCCTGATGGGGAATATCTGGCAGGTTTCACAAAGTCGGATTTTGACTAGAGATGAGCTCCAACTGATCAACGAATTGGTCTTCTGGAACAATTTCCCTTGAATTTCTAATGAACTGCTTGCTTCCCTTCACTCCAGCAGAGTTCAAAGTTAAAAGGAGGATTCAGCCAAGAAATTTACAATAAATTATGAATAACTTATAAATTATGAGCCATGTTTTGTCAGCAGCTGTCACTGAGCTCTCACTGTGTTAAAGGGAAATCCAAGCTTTGAGTTCATTGGGCTACAGTGGCTTTTTTTAGGCTCAAAATGGGTCATTTTATTTTGGTTAGCAGACACATTTTATTATAGAAGTCAAATATATCAATGTGAAACCTGCTCCCTGGGGCTCTTTGGATAGAATATCACCCAGAAATAAAGAAACCAGGACTGTCCACAGATGTTCTAGGGAAAAAGTATTAAATGGAGAGATAAAGATTTTTAAAAAACCCAAGAACTTTTGTCACCAATCTGTGCACATTCCTTACCCTGACAAAACAACATATACTTAGACATACACACAACAGACACAATAAATTCACACAACATGAACTGGAGGTCAGGGCAGGTGTACCTGGACCAGATATGCTCACCAGCTCTCCAGTCTTTCAGTCCCTACACACCAGGGACAATGAAAAAAAATCACACTTTGCCAGACTGAGATGTCGATCTAAGATTTTTCCTGCTAAAAGTCTACCACTACCACTAAACCATGAGTAAAACAAGAATTGATTGTAACCATAGGCAACTACAGTGGCAGCCACAAACGAAAACAGATGAGAGAGACTCGAGAAAAAGGATTTTGTTTTGTACTTTCTGTGAGAATTGTTATCAGGTTCACATTTGATAACTGAGGTTTATTGGATAGTTCGGCAAAGCAAGGACCTTCTGGTTGGCCTTTACTTTGCAGTGGTCTCATTTTAGGCATGACTTGCGCTTCTAGTAAAAGTTAAGGTATTTAAAATGTGTTCATGAAGGCTCAGAAGTGCAGTCGAGAAAAACTTTGCTGTGGATGTTTGTCTAACTAACCTGCAACAAGCTTGCTCTTGCGCGAGGCCTCTGAAGCCAGCATCTGGGACACATTCATGATCCTTTCCTGCTGCTGCAGAGCTGAATCCAGCTCAGTGAAGTCCAGCGGTGCAGATGGCTGTATGTTCTGGACACTGCATAAAAGGACACAAATGAGACTGACTATATAGTGTTGATTTGAACAGCACACTTGAACTAAGAAGCTTTATGGACCTATCGACCATGAAAACAGTTATGGAAATTATTCAGAAAGCACACAGGAGATGTTTGGTACATTTACAGTACTTAATTTCCCTTTTGAATAAGTATAATGATTGTGGGATTATTAATAACAAGCACTCAGAGAGCACAAACCTTATTATTTTTTATTGGATTCATTCTCTTTCCTTTGACAGTACTTTCTTAAAAGATGTTACGCATTTTGGGGTCCAGTTAAAAGAAAGGCAGACATGAAACGTAAAAGTGAGGTTAGAGGTCAAATGTGATATGATATTTGAATGCAAAGTCTAATGTGATATTTAGAGTCCCCATAAACCAGTATCATTTCCTACATGTTGCAAACACAAACAAAGGCAGCAGAATTTTAATCATAGTTTTTAAGATAAAAGACATTTTATGAACGTTTGACCTTATTTGACCTTGAAGGAGAGGCGAGATATAAAATATGATGTATTTAAAATCTTTATACAGTACTTTCTATGTGTTGATAATACACAGCACAGAATCATAGTTTCTAAGTTAAAAAGCTTTTTGTCAACCAATAAAACATTAAGTTGACTTTGAAGACCTAAGGATAATTTCAGTGGATTGTTGACCCCACTCTGCTCCCCTGACTACACTGAACGTTTCCTTCTACCATATTTACAGACAGAATGACACGCACACACACAAACAAGTGTTAATGTATCTGATGTATTACCACTAAGGCCTTACCTCCCACCTGGTATATATCCAAGTGCAAAAAAACGACATCTAAATTCCTTCAACTGGTATAACTTCGTTATGAGCACCATCTACCTGGATTTGGCCAGCAGGGTCTTGATTCGCTCAGCCCGACGGGCACGTTCCTCCAGCTCCTCTGGACTAAGAGGCTCATCGGTGTCAGACTCAATGTAGCGCTCGGGGATGAGAACTTTTTCTGGTTTGGACAGCTGCATGTTGGGCAAACAGTTAATCACACACATTGGTCTGTGGTTTGAAAGGTAGAGATTTTTATTTCAAATGAATTTTTCTTTTCATTAAACACCAAATCACAGCAAAAATCATGTCAGGGAACTTTCAGGACCAAGCCTCAAACTCTTTGACAGGAAGAAACCTCTGTATTAGTGATGCTGCGACTTTCTCACTGAGCTGCTTCTAACTGAAGTCACATGTGTGTGTACCTCTCGGCTGATATCCAGGTCATAGTCGAGAGGTTCCACATCCACCTCTCTTATGCGTGTAGCTGTTACTGTCACCCACTCATCTGACTGGATCCTGCCCCTCTCTTTGACTGGATTCCACCCTTCATCGCTTTGACCTTCTGCCACAGGTCGCTCCTCCTGCCAGTCAAACACCTGCAAGGGGGACGAGTCAGAATTAAAAGCTTACCACACTGTGGGGTGGGAAAAACCCTATTCTTATCATTAATAGAATCTTGAATCATTTAGTTAAGTTAGGAACAGTCTTGCGTGTTAAATATTAACACCATTATTATCAGAATGACAGATTAGCCAAATCTGATGTACACGGTGTTTATAAATAATGATTCCAGGTCAGATTTCCTGCAGTAACTGCAAGATTAAAGTTAAAGCATCAGCTGCTGTACATATTAGAAGTTCTTTTAGGCTGTAATGGTTTTTTTCAGAGATGAAGGCATTAGTAAAAAAGTAACTTGACAGATTAAAATTTTTAAAATTACAAAAATGTATAAATTAATTAATAATAAATTAAATATCTGGGTCACTGAAACATGTTTTTAATCAACACTGCTAAAAGTACTGGTTCCACAAAAAAATAAAAATAAAAATGTTGTGCAGGATAAGACTGACTACACAAAGAAACTCTACCTGCGTGCATGTGTAATGTTACTGCATTAAGCTGTGGTTCAGACAGAGAGAGGCAAAACATAATCACATCACTCGTGTAACCAGGAGTAATTACAGCAAGTTCACCCAAGAATTTGAAAAGACTGTTCTTAGCATTGTAACCACAAGCAACTACAAGACAGCCAAATGATTCGTATGTGTTTCTGGATCTGCCCTTTCTTCTTTGTGTGTGTGTGTGTGTGTGTGTGTGTGTGTGTGTGTGTGTGTGTGTGTGTGTGTGTGTGTGTGTGTGTGTGTGTGGTGAGAGGTACTTGAGAGTAATCATCCAAGGAGCATCAAAGCCATGCATGCATCCTTCCCACTCCAGTAGCCTGCAGCAGGGTCTGAGCTGCTGGTGCTTTCACATGCTCTGAGAAACACTGCATCCCATGCCTTGCTGTGCTCAGGAGAATCAATCGCACACAGAAGGACAGAGATAAAAAGAGAAGACCATGCAGGCACAGATTCCTCAAACCCCCACCGGATTAGGAAGAACACAGCAAAGAACAGATTCAGAAGCAAGAAACTCTTTATTGTCAAGTGCAAATCTCTACATGATAGAAAAGAAAAGGGGAAAGAGTTGTGCATTGCTTCTCGATTACACAGAATTAGGTGGCGATTAGCAATTCACTTCTTTAAGTTCTTTACTATATTTCTACTCTCCAACTGAGCATCCTCGTGTTACTACTCCACACTTTGATCTGATAGGCTTTATGTAGGTGTGAAAAGATAAAGACAATATGGCAGAAGAGCTTTTGGGGGTGAATATCTGACTGAAAACAAGGAGTGGACAGCTGTGCCATTTGAAGGAACATAACTAGAACGACAGTAACAGGGGTTATTTGTTTCAAATGTTAGCAGGAAATGTGTCAACAATACACGGAGTAAAAATAAGTAAAAAATCTCTTTAATGCATCTTTGTAAATCTGATAAAGACAAATTTCTTTTTTTTTCCTCTCTTAAGGACATTAATGCCTCAGATCACTAAAAGTTGTTTAATTTTCCCACAGATCTCCTGTGACAAAGTTGTCCACTTTTTGTTCACACACACATATTTTTTTATTGCATTTCAGCCCAGTTGCTTTATCCAGTCATGTATTATTATGCTCTATAAAAAAACAAAACAGGCCATCTTTCTTTTCCAACATTAAAAATGTCAGTGTAATTATGAAACACAGTCAAAAGCTAAAACGTAATTATGTAGTTAAAAAAATGATGTATAAATAAACATGTCTAATGCTGGTGAAGTACATAAAAATAAAATATACTCTGGCATTATCATTATTGTTATCGATATCATTATTATCATCATCATGTGCACTGAAAAGGGTGAAAATGATTAGCAGAAGGTGACAAGCTATGTATTGCTTACTGTTATAGGAAAATTTGATTTCAAGGGTTTATGGGAAATGTAGTTGATTTACAGGCAGCTCTCACAGCTGTGTGGTTAAACATTTGGTTAGTCTGCTATCATAACACCAGTACGGCAGTTATCGTCTGTCATGTAACCTTACAGGAAGACTTTGACATTTTAAGCTTCAATATTTTTTTTCCATCCAAGCACATTAGCATCTACGGTATTCTTCACTGAGACCAAGGGGCACAGCTAGCTGTAAGCTAGATTTACTCTAAGTGTCAAATGTCAAAGTTTTCCTTTAGGGATAAAAACCAGCACTGTCCCCACAACTTCCTGACTAAACTCTGCTATTGCACATAATCTATGATTCTGAAGTGGGGACGCATGCTGTAAACACACCATGATTAGCTAAAATGCTGACTAAGGAGGTACATTTAGGACAAAGGCAAAAAAGATCGTCAACATAACAAGGCACTTGGATTTTGAGTGAAGAAAAGAAAGCAGGGAGGCGGGATCATGATTTTTTTTGTAACATTGCATCTGTCTTCATTTCATCAATTTGAAAATGTATATTTTCTTTTTCTGACATTTTCCCTCACTCTTTTATATGCTCTAAATACCAAATCTCTACAAAATATAACTGTACAGCTGTATACTGAAAATATCACTCAGTAAATAAATAAAAGTGTACAAGTACACAGTATGTAGATGTACATAAATGGATTCTTTTCTCTACTTTGTGGTGACTAAAACTGAGACAGGAAGGCAGATTGATGCCTTCAGCTCACTCCTCTTCTCAATGGATTTACATTCAGAACTGTGTCAGTGAGGTCCCACCAGGGAGCAGTGGAAATAAAGTTCACTTTCACCTGAACCTTTAAATAATAAAATAAAATAGACAGGGCATCTTTTTTTCTGGTCTGAAACTAGCCAAGCATTACCCACAATCCCCTGTGCTCCTTTTCTCTCCAACTCTTCTTATAGTATTATCCACGCTAGCTAGCCAGCTGTAGTCAGTCCCGCCCTTTAGCTTGTTAGTGCTTTTGGCTACCATCAGTGGCTAGTGGTTACACAAGGCAGGCAGTGCTAGTGTGTTAGCATTTCCACTAGTATATTATGTGGCTGGGGGTGGGAACGTGGCATATCAGCTCTGGTGGTGGAGGTGGTGCTCCCTGTGCCTGCTGCTGCTGCGGTGGGGTTGGGAGTAACGTACGGAGGCTGGAGGGTCGGACGTGCTCGAGGGCAGCCTTGAGGAGGACGACGAGCGTTGGGCGGTGACGCTGGAGGCAGACAGGCCCGTGCTGGAACGCTCGCCCTGGCTGAGGTTCCTCTTGCGCTCCCGAATTAACGCTTTCTGGTGGCGCTTCATTCGTTCCAGCTGCTCCTCCGCAGTCATTCGGCCTCTGGCCTGGCTGCTCGAGGGCTGCAGGACTTCGGAAGTTGATGACAGACACTCCAAGGCACTCTTAGGTCTTTCCTAGTGAGTAAAGGCAGGAAAAAACAGAACAAGGAAAGCTTTGGTATGACATGGGGATGTTTGGTTAGTGCTATAAGAGAAGAAGTCTGAATTCCCACCCTTAAATCCCAGTTTCTATCTTCACTCAGACTACATATCCACTCTAACAGTTTCCATTTGGGAGAGGATACAGTCCACCCTAACCAATCATTAGAGATCAACTATCCACCTTACTATGAAGCCAATTAGATGCATAGCCATGCCAACATGCTGCTTTTTATTGAGATTGTAAGAGTGAAGTAGAGCAAAGTTAAACCTGTAGCCATGGCTGACAGCTGCTGAAAGAAAGCAAACACTGGCTCTTTAAAATATCCATCTTACAGCTTTACAGTGGTTTCTATCCCACCAGAATCATTGACTGACTAATCATTCGTCCTCACACGGTGCTAACTGGACCTAATCAAGAAAGCTTTTTTTCATCCACACTGCCAAATATATCAGTTAGACTGGACACATTCGAAGATCTGGGTCTGGACCAATAAGACAGATCAAAAGTGGCAGAAAACAAAATGGACACAAAACCAAACAGTAAAATAGCAGAAGTAGTAAATGCCAAAGAAAAATCAATTTGCCTGGATACAGATGCAAAAAATCTGTTTCTACTGCTCACACAGATGGTCCACAAACCGAGTGACAAAACTGGGAGAAAGTTGTAGTGAGAGATTTTTCAGTGGTGTCAGTTTGCAAACATATCATATTAAAAACAAAAACAAACACGTAATTGAACATAAGATTAAAACAGGACTCACAAACAAAAAAAACAGGCTTTTAAAAACAGACAAACCCTGAGTTTGTCCAGTTTATTGTCTTTACTCACCTTTGCTGCAGAGCTCCCAAGTCGTCTCCTTAGGGTGACGTAGGATGAGATGAGATGAGATGAGTTGGACTGGTTCTGTCGAGAGGAAGAGCCTGACAGACCAAGAAAATAACAAGAGCAGTAAATTAATTTAATGAAAACATTGAAATCTCTTATGGAATATGTACTAGGAATATGGACTTGAATTAATATACAAATGTTGTGCTGTCTGAGGGGTCAGGTATTATAAAAAGAATCAACATTAAAAGATGCCTTCATGTAATTGGCAAACGTAAAAACTGATTACAAAATCAGATTCTTTATTTTAAAAAATGTTACATTTTAGATTTTAAAAATGTTAATTAAATTCCAGATAATCATCCACTGTCAAACATCAGCCTCCAAATGATGACAATTCTATAACTAAAGGAAGGCTTATTAGCGAGATAAGCAGCTTTGAGTAGTCAGAGTAGAAAAGCCCTGTGTAAGTACCAGTCCATGTACCATTTAATAAGAGCATGTTTCAAATTTTAACTGATGAATACTCAAGTCTAAAGAGACTTCATCTTAGTTTCTTATTAAAATAAGTATTTTCCACTACACACTTCCTCTTTGAATCTTTTTATGATTACACCTCCATCTTTTACATCTCCATCCCATCATAACACAACTCTATTCTGTATTTTTAAATATGTATGTAGCCAGGACTTTTCATGGTATTTAAAATATACTGTAACTAGACTACACAATGCTGATGGGAAATCACTGGCTGCTTTAAAATTGTGTAATCAAGTTCAACAGGAAACCTTTTCCAGTCAGATACCATATATCATTTACACATTACTTTTCAGATACCTTTACTTGAGAAATACTGATAGTCAGTGTCAGACCCAATGTTGTGGTGGTTTACTCCTGGCAGCTCTGGTTCACTCAGGTATGAACGCAAGTCAGTCTGAAACCAGAAAAGATTAAACAGGAAGTTGGACTGGATAGACTTCTTTGGCTGCAGCGAACAATATAAAATGAGATATTTAACTGATCTAACCTGTAGAGAAAATACACACAGAATTAACACAACAACAGGGAGTAAATGGCGGCGTACCTTATAGTCTCCATTGACAACATATTGCCCACTTTCTCTGTCCCTCTTCCTCTCATCTGACTGGCGCTTCAGCCCACGCACCGATGTGTGGCGGATAACTGAGGCCTCTTTGGGGAGGGGCGGAACCACAGGAGGTATATCCTCATAGTCGTACTGGCGAGGCAGTGGTGGCCTGGGTGGGGCACTGTCCTCTGCCTGTGCAGCAACGAGGACAAGAAAGCATCGTTATTTTGCTGATAACATTTCATTTAGACTAAATCCAGCAACTTCGTGAAAGTTAACTTTCAGCTGACTCTGACGTTTTTACCAGCAGAGCTGTGGCACTCACCCACTTTGGCACAGTGCTGTGAGGCAAAGTATAAGAGTGGATGTTTGGGATGGAGCTGCGAGGAGGAGGCTGAATCTCTGCACTTGGAGAAGGCACTGCTGGTTCTGACACTGAAGGCACTAATTTCCTCTCTGGTGGGATGTGTGAATGCAGAGAAATCAGAATTTAGATTTTAAATATAAGACGTTTACTGAGGTTTACACCCAGGCACGGGAAGAATTTCTTATTCATTTACACTGAGAGAAGGAGTAAGAGAAATACAGTTTCAATCTAAATTTGATTGGAAAGCAGAAGAACAGGGAGTGAAAGTCAGTGACATAGTCAGACTCACTGTAATAGTAATTACAGCACAATATGCACAGAATATAAAATACTAAATATCAGACCATGTGGCCATTTTTAGCTCTACACCTACAAGGTGTGTTGAGATCAAGGCCTTTATTGGATCTTAATGACTCTCTTCCTATCTGGTTATCATTACCAGTCCCTGCACTGAGTGCTCTGGTTTTGGGCTCTCTACCTGGGTTCTGGACAGAGTCGATGGTAATCTTGTAGTTGGCTTTGCTGGCACTCAGTCCGGCCATCACATCTTCAATCCTCCACAGCTCGCGCTTCATCTCAGCTTTCTCTTGCTGTATAACAACATAAAGACAAAATCAGCAGAAGGAATCCGACTCAGTTCACCTCATATTTGATGTGGTTTCATTTTGGCCTCATCTTCATTTACAAAATCGGGCCTGTAACTGTAGTTAGGTCATTGTTGGGATGTTTTCCTTCTAATTTGCACTGGACTGGAAAATAAACAAATGAGATGAGCTGCTTCTTGTAGTTTTATAAATGTCTAAAACCAGTAAATGTTGAACCGGTGCCCCAGCACTTCAAAGAAAAATAAAAGGGTATATTTCTGTTCTTGAAAGTTTTTTGCTCATACATATGACATGTGTACATATTAGAGATGGCACGAAACCACTTTTTTATGTCCGATACCGATATCATAAATTTGGATATCGCCGATACCGATATGAATCCGATATAGTGTGTTTTTAATCAATAAAACTGTTTTTTTAATATCTTGCTGCATTTTGTATAAGTTCATACTCAAGTTTAAAAAAAACAAAAACACTAAAGCTATTCTGTTATACCTGTATGCAAAAAATACACTGCACCCAAAATATTTCATAGTTCAGCAATACTGATCAATCTAATAAACTTAAACCTACTCCATCCTTCCTATTCTGGTATTTTAAAGAGTAAGCAACCTAACTAATAGGGTTGCAAACTCCCAGCAAAAAAAAAAAAAAATAGGGAACCACCCACCCCACCTCATGATGCTTAATCGACGTAATCAACTTTAATTTGATGCAGTGTGAAAAAAAATGCACAGAAATAAATTATTTTTCAAGAATAATTTAATAGATTCAACATCTTTCTTGCTGCTGTTGTTCAGCCGCTGGTTTCCTCTTTCTGGTGCGAAGTGGGCCAAAAACAAAGAAGAGAACGGACTCGTGACAGAAAAGCCGATCAGCTGATCATTAATCAGTTTCATGATTGAAGTAGTAACAGGAGAGGGAGGGAGAGAGAAGAGGCAGTCGCTCCATATATCGTTGTTAAGCTTACACTGGAATGCTTTACAAACATTCAGAGATGAACTTACACACTTGCTTTACTTCTCTCTGGGATAACTTTCTCAGAGATGAAATGCCGGTTTGGTAGCGAGGCTACAAATGCTCAACCAGACCGCGACAGGTCTCGCACGCCACAGCCGCTCTATCACGTGATGCAACTGCTCCGACGTGCTATGGTTATGAGCCGAGTTATGCCATGTCGCAAGTTTTGTGAGGTGCTTTTTTGATATTTAATGGATCGGATTACATTTTTTATTTCTCTCCGATATCCATCCAGTAATTTAGGTCAGTATTGGACCGATACCGATACGTAATATCGGATCGGTCCATCTCTAGTAATACAGGGAGTGCAGAATTATTAGGCAAGTTGTATTTTTGAGGAATAATTTTATTATTGAACAACAACCATGTTCTCAATGAACCCAAAAAACTCATTAATATCAAAGCTGAATGTTTTTGGAGAGTTTAGTTGTTTTTAGTTTTAGCTATTTTAGGGGGATATCTGTGTGTGCAGGTGACTATTACTGTGCATAATTATTAGGCAACTTAACAAAAAACAAATATATACCCATTTCAATTATTTATTTTTACCAGTGAAACCAATATAACATCTCCACATTCACAAATATACATTTCTGACATTCAAAAACAAAACAAAAACAAATCAGCGACCAATATAGCCACCTTTCTTTGCAAGGACACTCAAAAGCCTGCCATCCATGGATTCTGTCAGTGTTTTGATCTGTTCACCATCAACATTGCGTGCAGCAGCAACCACAGCCTCCCAGACACTGTTCAGAGAGGTGTACTGTTTTCCCTCCTTGTAAATCTCACATTTGATGATGGACCACAGGTTCTCAATGGGGTTCAGATCAGGTGAACAAGGAGGCCATGTCATTAGTTTTTCTTCTTTTATACCCTTTCTTGCCAGCCACGCTGTGGAGTACTTGGACGCGTGTGATGGAGCATTGTCCTGCATGAAAATCATGTTTTTCTTGAAGGATGCAGACTTCTTCCTGTACCACTGCTTGAAGAAGGTGTCTTCCAGAAACTGGCAGTAGGACTGGGAGTTGAGCTTGACTCCATCCTCAACCCGAAAAGGCCCCACAAGCTCATCTTTGATGATACCAGCCCAAACCAGTACTCCACCTCCACCTTGCTGGCGTCTGAGTCGGACTGGAGCTCTCTGCCCTTTACCAATCCAGCCACGGGCCCATCCATCTGGCCCATCAAGACTCACTCTCATTTCATCAGTCCATAAAACCTTAGAAAAATCAGTCTTGAGATATTTCTTGGCCCAGTCTTGACGTTTCAGCTTGTGTGTCTTGTTCAGTGGTGGTCGTCTTTCAGCCTTTCTTACCTTGGCCATGTCTCTGAGTATTGCACACCTTGTGCTTTTGGGCACTCCAGTGATGTTGCAGCTCTGAAATATGGCCAAACTGGTGGCAAGTGGCATCTTGGCAGCTGCACGCTTGACTTTTCTCAGTTCATGGGCAGTTATTTTGCGCCTTGGTTTTTCCACACGCTTCTTGCGACCCTGTTGACTATTTTGAATGAAACGCTTGATTGTTCGATGATCACGCTTCAGAAGCTTTGCAATTTTGAGACTGCTGCATCCCTCTGCAAGATATCTCACTATTTTTGACTTTTCTGAGCCTGTCAAGTCCTTCTTTTGACCCATTTTGCCAAAGGAAAGGACGTTGCCTAATAATTATGCACACCTGATATAGGGTGTTGATGTCATTAGACCACACCCCTTCTCATTACAGAGATGCACATCACCTAATATGCTTAATTGGTAGTAGGCTTTCGAGCCTATACAGCTTGGAGTAAGACAACATGCATGCAGAGGATGATGTGGACAAAATACTCATTTGCCTAATAATTCTGCACTCCCTGTATATGCATCTCCTCAAGGGCTTTTCTTACTTGGCTACATCTAGTAAAGGGCTTATTTTTTTTATTACCAAGGAAAATGTTCTACTGTCTTCCACTTTAGCTCTCGATTTGATTTTGCAGGTCTTTTGGTGGTGTTGTGTTGTCTGTGCATTCCGTTCTAAGAATTTACCAACTCGTGATTTTTCAGGCGAATGATGCCCTCTTCTACTTGCATCAACAATTCTCTAGACCACAACTGACCTATTGATTAATACTAAAAAGAAAGACTATTAAACAGGCCACACCCGGCCATGAAACTGCTTGCTCTTCAGTTGTTCACTTATGTTTGAGCATATTATTAAACTGTTTTTACACAGAGGGACACACACTATGTAAAAATTGTTGCAATTCTAAAATTGCTGATGCAATGTTTCTATTTTATTCCGAGGGTGAGAGTCTGCACTCGAGCAATATAGTGATGACAAAATACAAAAAAAATAAATAAATAAAAATAAAAATAGTCTTCAAAAACAAAGAAGCGCCATATAAAATCCAGGCTATGAGTAAATGCCTGTTTTAACTGAAAATCCAGAACTAGATTGGCTCCGCTCTAACATGCAGTAACACGTTTTACCTGAGAGGTGGAGCTGTGGTTCATTTGTGCCTGCAGTGCTAGCCTCAACTGCTCTACTGAATTCTCAAGCCTGCTGTACTCCTCCCAGGCATATGCCATCTCCTGCATTAAACAAACACACACATGCAGAAAGACTTAATACATAGTCCCACGGTAAACGGGTTCAGGTTCTCTTATTTGTGCCTGTAGGGAGGTTTGATCTGCAGTCATCCATCCCCACATGCCCATTTTAGCCTCCCCGCATAAGAAAAAAACAATACAAACCAAAAACCCATAAGTCAATAATGGAGCACATTATAACGTGATGAATAAATAAATAATTAATCTACACGGTATCATGTAAGATATAAAGGCCATGAGCTTTTTTCTGTTAAGTTGTATACACACTTTGTATACACACACAAAGTGTATTAGAGGCACACTGTTAAACATATGGCACATAATAACAAGCAGCTGCAAGCATTGAAACAAATGCATTTGTAGAATTATGTGTGGACTGTGAAATGAGTGTTTATACAATAACACTCAGTCATAGATACCGTGGAAACGCGGGATATTTGCGCCCTGATCGTCACCAGATCTTCCTGCAGCAGCCTCTGCTGGTAGGCGATTTTGTGGGCATGAGCTGGTTGTTCCTGGTACTGCTCCATCTGCTGATGGGACAAATCTAATACACTCTCCAGCTTGTCCTGAAGAGACAAGGTTGAGATCAGCATGAGATGAACAGAGAGCAACCGACCCCTGGCTTGTTTGTAGAATGCTGTTCTATAAATGGACACTTACTATTCAGCAGATGACTATTTTAAAATACCTCCAGGGGGCAGCATGTTTCCACAGAGCTGCGCTGCCATGAGATACTGACTGACTTTCATTAAAGTAGATCCTGAGCTGTATATGGTCAGACTTTAACTGCATGCCCTACATTATTTTGCAAATAACACTATTCAGAATCTGATGAGGAATGTGTACTTTCATGTGGGGTTGTAACAGTAAAAGCTGAGGTAAATAAAGCGTCTGTCTCTACTTCAGTCGACTTTCCTAATTATGACAGTGAAGGTTACATTTAGCAGGAAACTTGTTTTGACTCTGATGTGTGCTGCCACATACTTTGACAGCTGCTTTAAGCTATTAAACTCAAATATATTTCAACTAATTACAGTATGGGGCACTTTATGTAGTATTTCCTAGAATTTTGTAACACCTTCCATTCAGACTGATAAGCCAGAATCAGGCTGACTCATCTGACTGACTACAGCGGGTAGAATGTCCTGGCATGGCTGGCTTAAAGTCTTTCTAACTATTACTGTGTACCTTGTCGTCCTTCAGGGAGCTGATCCTCGCCTCCAGATCCTTTAGTATGTTGTCCTGTTCACATAACCGACTCAACTTCACCTGCAGATGGAGACAAAGAGTCGAGTGGGCAGGGAAAGGAATGGAAGGGGGGCCCTTTGTACACTCACAGATAAAATGCCTCAAGTGCTCACCAAAGTGTGTGCGTGTATGTGCGTCTTGACCTCTGGTAATTAAGAGGCCCATTTGCTTAATTTACAACTTCCTCTTGTTTGTGTAGGTGCAGTGAATGAAAACGTCTCTGAGCGTAAGCATGTGTGAGCATTATAGTAACATGAGGGCACACATACTTGTGTATACGTCCATTTTAATGCATATGGGTTTAGCACACTTGAGATTTGCAGCCCTACAACTCCGCTGTCTCGTTTTGGTGTACTTAGAATTACTGTGAGTGAAGCAATTAAACAAAGTGGGTGCAACCCACCTGACATGTTTAATTACAGTGTCAGACTCTCAGAGCCTTGTTAATTAATCTCTGATTGAACTGAAAGCAAAGGTGGGATCACTTCATGCATGTAAAAAGGTTCAAAGTTAAAATCTTAATGTGAACAAAGTACCTCTCTGTATATATTGTTTTTTCTTTTACACTCTACATTGGTTTTTATATTCCACTGAATAAATTATTAATCTACAAGTTGTCTCCATGGCGATGTTGTTGTTGGAGCTCCTCAAATATTCATTGCAGACAACATGCTCATAAATTTTAAATAAACTGTGTGTGAGAAGTAAATCGTGAGAAATACTTTCATAAGAGAAAACAAAGACGGTTTGAAAAGCTGCAGGGAATTATCAGACTGAAAGACTCAAAGCTTTTGACTATTAACATTCTCCGCAAGATTTTTTCTCCTGAAATCTAAGTGTCCACCCACACTTTTTTCACAGGATCCATGTTTTGTTTTGCCTAAATTGCCCTTACTTTTCTCCCAACTGAACCACAACAGTCAGAAGAAACTAGAATTAAGTGTTCCCTTGGCTGAAAGGCAGCGAATGAGTGTTTGACTGTTTCATCTATTACATAAAAACATTAAACCTGTTTATGAATATTCTGAATATGCATCAAATAGAAAGGTCCTTAAATATATGTATATCTTTGTTCATTCAGGTAAATGCAGTTTGTAATAGAAACATATAACAAAAAAAACCTACAGCATCCTGAAATGTCCAACCAAAAACCAACACGCTTTTCACCGATTGGTTAAAAAGTTCTCGAGACATCAAAGTAACAACTGAAAATTATCAAACACAACCTCATCACAGAGTCTAAAGTGTATTTTTGTTTATGTTTTTTTCTAGTGCAGTCAACAAGCTCGTACTTACATCCACATCACTTTCTGCAACCTTGACAGGTTTTCCTGACTCCTTCAGTACCTGGAAATTCCAAAATTAATATTTTAAGATATTAGTGTTGTGGTAAAAAACAAACAAAAAAGTGTACGACTCCATGGTACATCTGTGCTGAAGTAAGGGAAATGCAAAACACAGAGACCGGCTACAAACTATTATGGGCTGCGACAGGCTATCTATGACACATTCCCTAAGCCTTGTGTACATAACAGTATGAGACTTCTGCCACACAAAATCAGCTCTTGCCATGAACAACACAATGGCTATGGAGACTTTGAAGCTCTGCACAAAATGACTTATCGGTTTCCACTTGCTGGTTTTTTTTTTCGTGAAAAAACAGATCTTTGAAGAATGCGCCGTGGAGCGAATTTCAGGTGCCCACTGTGAAGTTTACTGGCGTTACGCTCGCTAGCTTTACAAATCTCAGAATATAGCACATGTGCACCATGTTTAACACTAGAACTCACTGATGACAGCTCTTTTTTATTCATGTTTAGACGTTTTTCTGTTTTGCTCATTTTATTTTAGGAGTGTGTTCCCTTTTTTTTTAATAAAACAAACAAATAAATAAACAAGACACAGTAGAGCCTTGCATCATTGTCAAGGAGGTGCAGCGTTTCAGAGACGATGGTAGAAGCAGCTGGCTTTTCAACCACCGGGCCACAGCCACAACACATGCACTGCCGAGCCATCCCATGCCCATTATTTAACAGCGCCATCAACATCGCCACATGGTGGGAGGGGGTTGTGTGAACATGGACAGAAGACATCATATTCAGTTCAAGCTGTAGATGCAGTGCTGTAGGCAATGGGATGGTCTTTCTAGAACACACACTCTCTAAACGTCTAAACATACACACACCCCATACACACAGACTATTGAGCTTGTGTCCCTCTGAACACTAAGCAAACATGCACGAGCAGGAATCACACCCACAAACACAGCCATACTACACACAGCTCTACATCTTTTAATATAGTGCACATACTGGACATACATGCGCGCATACACAGAGCTTACGTTCATTAGAGGCCTGAGAGGCCCAGCAGTGCAGTGCAGTAGTAAACTGTGAACTGCGAGGATCAGGGGCTCTAGAGCTCTGATCTGGGAGTCAAAAATCACAAAGACACAGAGCCGCAATCACAAAATGGCGCTGCTTTTGTGAGATGCTTCTAAAACCACTCAAAGAGTTAGAAGATCACTGCAAGGATTTAGGGATGTTTGGTCCCACACAGATGCTTGAACATCTCCTTTTGTAGCTACAACATTTGTAGCTGTCTCCGCTCAACAGATCAACAAGGGTGAAGGAAGTGGCTGTCAGTAAGAATCACCACGCGTGTTAGATTACACTAGAGACATTTCAAATCAGAAAGGCGCAGCTGAAGGGAAAAAAACACTTAAAGTAAAGGAAAAGATTCATTAAAATAGCTAACGGGAATCAGGTGATCAACTTTGTCCATCATTATCTTTCTCACCTTTAGGTCCAGATACTCCAAGTCCTTCTTCAGCTGCATATAGGTGTCATCAGCCTAGAAGATGACAAATATGCAAGCTTGGATTACTGATGTGTGCCAACAGGCACTAAACAATCCACTGAAACATCAATCTATAGAAGCAACAGAAACTATTACTTTTGCATCCCGGGAGATTTTGGTATCAAATATGACGTGTGTGACTTGCTGTTATACGTCTACGCACACATGCACCACAATACACTGAGACACACAGTAAAAATGTGTTCATTTATTTCATGATCAGAGAAGTTGCAATCATCACAGGACGAGCAGAAACCAGATCTCTTAGAAGAAGTAGAAGATCTTGAGATATTGTTGAATTCAGCTTTGAATTCAGCCCGTACGTGTCACTCAAAAGTAAAATAGAAGCAAGAAGTAGAAGAAGCAAACTTCTATACAGCCGAAAATAAGACTCACGCATCAGAGGACCAAGCTGAACAACACATCCACAGATTGCCAGTTTGCTAAAGCATGGGATGGCTTTGTGGACGTCGAAAAGAGAGCAACACAACATGCCATGAACAGTATCAGTAGAAGCACGACATGGAAACTGACCAGCCAAGAACAGCACATGGACAAGAGGCAGATGGTTCTCGATGCTAAGCAAAGGAACTTTAAAGTAGAAGTTGCCACTAATATAAGGATACTAGGATCTTATTGAGTCTTTTGGTTGGGCTTCATTCATCATCTGAGTTTTCTTGATCACCATTTCAGATTTTATATGTTTTTACAGTTGGTAACTTTTCAATACAGTATAAAGACTGTTTAGATGTGAATGGGAGTAAGAGATATGAGTATCGGTGAACACTGAAAGCACAATCACTCAGCATCCAGACTTGGTGTTGCGTGATCGCAGGACGAGGAGGGTTACAAAAATTACTTAGGATTGGAGAAATGCAGCTGCTTTCACTATAGAGAACTTCACTTGAAGTTATAAAATAGAAACTCATAGGCACTTTAAAAATAGATTTTCTGAAAATTACCACCTGACCTTGTGGTGTCTTAAGAGAAAATGCCAGGATGAACTGGTGACTAAGATTACTTACAGAAATTTGAATGCAAAATCAAAAGGTTATTTTCACAAAATCTTGTTAAAGATCAAAGGTTTTCAACACTCTAAAAGAGACTTTACAGTGACCAAAGAAATCACCACCAATGCATTACTTTTTTTTGTAAACCAGTACTGTAACCACCTATCTTAATTAGGATTGTTTTCTACAGGGCAACACTGTGGTCTGATTCCTAGCACACACAAAAAAGCAGTTCTGGATTTGAATTTCAAACCCAGAACCTTTTTGTACCTGTGCAGGTTCTCTCTGGATACCTCAGCTTCCTCCCACAGACAAACTGACTAACCCTACCTTGCACAGTGGTATAAATAATGCGCATAAATATTGAGCCAGAAAATGCTAATAATGCATTACATTAGGAACAAATTAAAGAGTTATGTGTGTAAAATAAGCTATAAAACTGAAATGGTATTCATGATTTAAGACTAATGCAGCCCTGCACAATTTTTAGTGGCAACCTCTATGAGTCCCTGGTAAAATGAGGGGCAGACAGGCAGGCGTGCCGCATTAGCCCCCACCTGGGTGTTGCAAGGGCCAAGTGATGCCGAGAGGCCCATGTGTCCAACATGGGACACGGGAGAGGGGCCGGCGCTGAGGAGGGGACTGGTGCTAGTGGTGGTAGCACTGAAGAGGTGGTTGTGTTGGAAAGGATCTTTGGGACCATTGAGCCGCTGGAGCTGGGCTAACGTTTGCTGACGTGCGGAAGCCATCTTGGCCTGATGGCGACGCAGCTGAATAAGGAGCAGAGTGAGCTCCTCGGGCTGTCACATGCATCACAAGAGATTCAATCTAGCAAATCTTAATACTAAGCACAAAAGCTTCGCTCAGACTGCTCTTCTTTAAATACTATAGGTCACTTCACACAACTAATTGGCCAATTGTTTAGTCGATGGCTAATTTGCAGCTAAAATAAGGAGGATGAATGGTGCTGAAACAAAAGGCAGGAGGACAACAACATAGGCTACTGCCAACTGGTCAAGAACAACAACAAAAAAAGACTTATTAATGACTGGTTTATAGCAATCAAAATTCACTCATAGCAGAGAAATATTCCCCGAGTCACTGACTTATTGAGATGGAAAAGCTATGTATAAACAACAAGTTTATACAACCTTTAAAATTCACATTTTATATGTTTATTTGAGAAACTTACCGTTTTGCCATGAAGGCTGGGTGCACTGACTGTGTGAGTGATGTAGCCGGACGGAGGCATTGATCGTCTCTCAACAGTAGCAGCCTATAACACACAGACAACGCATTCATGTAGACTGTTTGAAGAAGTAAGATTAAAATTTCATATAAGACTTCATTCATATTAAATATTTATTACAGATTCAATGCAGTCTTACTCTAGACGCTATTTTCTAGAACAAGAGTGAATGCAGAATGCCACAAGTCTTGTTTTAGAAGATGCAATGTTTGATTGGATCTTAACATCGAAATGCTGTAATTTTTTTAAATCTCAGGGCAAAATGTGTGTGGATGTAATTATCCATCATTAGTCACTCTATATTAAAAGTGGTGTATTCACACACAAATGGGCAGATGTTCATTTACATGCTTTGAATAAGTGAGAAAATGTGTTGTCAACAATGTATAATGTATACGTTTCAAGTCTGCTTTTGAGTGAGTGAGGATACAATGAGGCACAGTTCCAACATGTGCCTACGATGTTCAGAATGACTAACACTTTTCTGAATACAAAACTAACTGATATTGCATTTAACAGGGGGGGGGGGGGGGGGGGGGGAAATCAGACAATGGTGCAATCTTGGAAGTAAGAATTAGATGAAATACATTTATCAATATATGCAACAGAATCTGTAACAGTAGTTTGTGTACTGTCATCCTAATCAAGAACATCTACACAAGCTATCATTACAGAACATAACCCTCGTACATCACAACATTGCTTTGGAATACTTCTCTTTTTTTTCCCTTTTTCTTGTATTATTATGTGATTAAATCTTGTGCATCTGGGGATTTGGGCATCATAAGATGATTCAGAGAGTGTAAGCTAACTGCCTAAAATGTAATTATGATGCCAAAAAACGGTGCTTCTTCCCCGTTATGTAAAGTTTTAATCTCATTCCATTGATTAAGAACTGCCTGTAATTTTCACAGTGTGTGTGGACACTTCTCTGTGCACAGTATCACCACTTTGCCTAAAGGAACCTGGACATTATTAATGTTATCCTTTCTCTTTCATGCATTAATTATACTGTATCTGGAAACTACAGCCACAATTACAGCCTAAAGTCTTTTTGAGTGTGATGCTACAAAGTTGACACACCTATTTTTGGGCAGTTTCTCTTGTCAAGTGCACAGCCATTTTCACATATCTCCAGGGCTGGGCTCTGGCTAGGCCACTCAAGGACATTCACAGACTGCTCTCTAAGACACTCCTTTGTTATCTCGGCTTGGCTATCTTGGTTCATTGTCCTGCTGGAAAATGAACCTTCAACCCAGTCAGATCCAGCACACTCTGGAGCAGGTCATCATCAAGGATGCCTCTATGAAATGCTGCATTTATCATTTATCTGCATTTCATCCTGACTAGTCTCCCACATCAAAACATCCTCACATCATGACGCTGCCACCACCATGCTTCACTCTAGGGATGATTATTATGATAAGCTGCGCCCGATTTCCTCCCAATGCGATACTTGGTATTGAGGATATAGAGTTCAGTCTGTTTCATCACACCAGAAATTTTGTTTCTCATTGTCTGAGAGTCTGTTAGGTGGCTTTTACTAAGGAGTGGCTACAGTCTGGCCACACTGCCATAAAAGCCTGATTGCGGAGTCCTGCAAAAATGGCTGCCGTTCTGGAAGGTTCTCTTCTCCACAGAGCAACACTGGAGCTTTGCAGAGTGACCATCAGGTTCTTCTTTATTTCACTGTCTAAGCTTTTCTGCCTTGATCGTTCAGACTGGCCATGCTGGTAGTACAATACTGGTAGTTCCAGACATCTTCCAATTACAGACGATGGAGGCCTCTGTGCTCATTGAGCCTTCAATGCTGCAGAAATGTTTTAGTAATGTTCCCCAGATCTGTGTTTCAATACAATCCTGTCTCAGATGTCTACAGACAATTCTTTGGACTCCATGGGCTGGTTTGTGGTCTGACATTAACTGTTAAGTATTGCACCTTATATTGTTTTCCTAATCATGTCCAATCAACTGAATTTATCACAGGTGGACTCCAGTCAAGTTGTAGAAACATCTGACTGATGATCAGTCGAAACAAAATGCACCTGAGCTTATGTTTGAGTGTCATGGCAAAATTTTTTTTACAAGAATATCAAGCAAACTTTAGGGTATTGTATGTAGAAAATAATTTAATTCATTTTTGGAATAAGGCATGACAATCTGGACAATCTGCACTGTAAACATGAAAGCTGAAACCTAAAAACTCTAACAACACTGAAGCACTATAACAAACAGTATGGCAGCTGGGTTATCTTACCTTAAACAGCTGAGATTTGGTCCTGCGAGGGGAAACAGTGAAGGGGATGTTCAACACGGATATATCACTCACAGGCTTGACTGTCACCCGCTCAGCCGGCGTGTGTGGCCTCCGTGCGGGGGACAGGGTTCGGCTGATACCAGGAGGAGGGCCTGGTGGAGGTATGTCTGCTGATGATGGTGGTACTGAGACACAGCGAGGAGAGCCCTCTGACCTAGGTGCTGAAGAGGAGGGAGGCACAGTAGATGGTGGGCGGGGGCCAAATGGATACTCTGGGGCCGGGGTGTAAAGCGGTGCGGTAGGGCTGCCGTGACGGTACTGGTGGCGCTGCTGCCACTCATACAGTTGCCAGACAGTGTTGGACGCCGGGCCCCCCTGATCTGGGGTCAGGCGAAAGTGACTCAGGCGGTCCTGGGCATACTTGTACTCGCCGAGTCGGCCAGGTGGGGGACTTTGGCGAGGAGTTTTTGGCAGGGTTTGGTAGGCGTCGATGGAGGTGTACTTGTGTTGCGTTGGTGGTGTGCGACGAGGCAGGGTGTTCTCTCTGGATGGGGCACTGTTAAGTAGAAACAGCAAGAAAACATTAGGCTACTTCTAAGGGCAAAAAGGCAACATTGACACATCATTAGCACTTAATTTGATATAAACTTATACTTTATTCGTTACTCCTGAGGTTCGTCATTTGAAGGCACAGTGTGAGTTTTATCTCCTATGCAGATGCCAGACAACTATACATACAGAAGTAAATGTTACTGGCACACTGCCTCCTTACACCTGAGCTGTATATCTGTAAAGTTTGGCCAATACTGTAAAAACCTTGGGGTGACTTTTAACAACCACTTCAGGTCAAACAAGCTTGTTGTTTTAGTTGTCCAGTCTTATTTTATGCAGATTAGGAGACGTAAGATCAGCTCGATTTCATCTAAAACAATTGTAAAGATGGTCATACATGGTTCTATCTCCTCTTTGTTAGATTATTGCAATTTATTCTACATGTTTAAGCTACAAAGACTACACCAACTTATAGCTGTTCCAAAATGCAGCCAGACTTCTTACTAAACCAAAAAAAGAGAACATGTCACTCCAGTTTTAGTTTCTCTTCATTGGTTACCCATTAATTTTAGAATTAAGGTTTTAATTATGAGAATTTAGTGTTGATTTTTACGGTTCGCTCTGGGCTCACACCAAAGTACATTTCAGATCTTCCGACACCATACGCTCCTGGTCATAGCCTTAAGCCCTTACCTAAAGCTCTGCTGCCCATCACACAACCTTGGCTGAGCACCAAGGGTAATCAGGCTTTTTCGATCAGGACACCCACTCTTTGGAACAATCTGAGGAGACGGTTTCAAAGGGAGCTCACTATCGTCTTTTAAATCCCTCTTAAAGACATATTCTTCATAAGCAGGCTTTTTCTGTGCCTCCACTTTCACCTTCATAGCTGTTTTATCATCTTCTCCTAGTGATAATTTTTAATGTACTTTCATTTTTCATATCTGTTGCTAATTTACCTGTTTTTTTTGTTTGTTTTTTAAATTGGCTTTATCTCTCACTTTCATCTCCTTGTGCTGCCAGCATTCTGATACCTTATAAAGTTTCACTTTTATCTGTTCTTAAATTTTTTATTTGTTGTTTGTTTCCCATCTTGTTCTGTGAAGCACTTTGTAACTTTGTTTGGAAAGAAAAAAAAAACATTTTTGTATATTGCAATGACCTACCCTTTGTACTCAGCCTTCTGTACTTTGACCCACTGCTCCACCTGCTCAAGGGTACTTCTCCTCTGAGCGTGCTTTTGTGTGTTATTAGCAGGTGGCTCTGGGGCCCTTTGATACGTCCCTGCTGCGATGCCGTTGGGTTCCAGTATGGGGCTGGGTGTGGAGACCAGGCCATTTCTTGTGCAAATGCTGGAGGGCAAAGTCGAAGCGGCTCGTGACGGAGCACGGGACGGCACCCTGGACACAGGCGCTGAAGCCGAAATGTGATCTGGCTGTGGTACGGCAGAGGGTGCGGGATTAGATGGGAGGGAAGTGTGCGTGTCCATTTCTAGGCCAGTGCTTCCTATGGGGGGATCCAACATGATGGTGGCAGGAGAGTCTTTGTGAAAGCTGCAACGCTCCTCTGCGTCACGGTGTATGGGCTCCAGGAGAACCTCATGAATCATCTGTCTTGTTGTCTCAGAATCGAAAGTCTTGGTCTTGTGGTGGCTTACATGGTTTGTCTGTGGGACAGCCTGCTGCGACAACTTATCAGCTGGTCTGTGGAGAGTGGAGATGGCAAAAATCAATGAATGCTGTCATTTTACACTCTTATACCCTTAACAATGTAATTAACAATATCTGTAATTCGGATAGCAGTTTTGTTCCTCAGGCTTTTCGAAGGATTGCAGTGGCTCCTCCTCAATAACAACCAAGTCTGTTTCGTTTCATTTCACGGATACCTCGTACACGTTATAAGCCAGAGTTCTAGCATTTTAATCTTCTTTTCTGTTGTAGTGAACTCAATTTGTACTAGATGGTGACTACCACATGAAAGGGAAACTTTTCCTCAGCATCCTTAGCTTTATGAGCAGGCAAAGACCAAAGAAGTCACAAAGCAAACAGATGACACTCAAAGCCTGGTAACCATATCTCTATTTCAACCACATTAATGAAATCCCATGTAAACAAAGCACTCAGCCAGAAGAAATAGGCCAGTCTCCGGCACACCAAGTCATAGTTAGTTTAGTTTTAAAGAGGTGTTCAGACAAGCCCAGGTGATACTTTCCCCGTCAATGGCTCACATCTAAACATATCAGAATGAATTAGCACTACAGTGACTGGTTTCTCCTCATTACTGTGGACTGTGCTAAATATAGTGTTGCTAGCTGTGCATTCCATCCATTTGCAATGAAAATAATTTTTTTGCATACTGCAGATGAAAGCCTTTAAAAAGTACTTTAAGCATGCAGTCACAGTACTTTTAGTTTAGCTTCTAAAAACACTGGAAATGGGTGAAAAAGAGGTTAAAGAAATTCCCATCTGGAAGCTGTCTTCAGCTACGTTTCCCTTCTGTTATTCACAAACAACTAGTGTAGTCTTGTGGGACTGCCCCCAAAGTAAAATACAAGATAATGAAAATAAAGAGGTGCCAGCAGCGGGTATCTGAGGTTGCTTGTGAATGATGGACTTATTTGATCTCTGCCCCTCGTAAACATATTAATAATTCATGAAGGAAGCTGCTGTTTGTTAAAAAAAAAAAAAAAAGCACCCACATCAGCAATCAGAATGTATTTTTTGAATGATACTAATATTACAAACAAATTCATCATATTTTGGAGAAGCAGGAGTGGAGCAGGACATTTTTTAAATTATTCTGTGAATCTTTAAGTATGATAAAAGACAACACAGTGCAAAAACAGCATGTCTCAAATTGCGAATGACAACATTCCTATTTAAACTATAGGACTGTATTCATCTGGGAAAAGAAAAAAAAAAAGAGATGAATAATGTTAATAATGACCTGATCATTGCATCGCTGTGGTTCTGCATCAGCGTGGCCTGGTTCATGGCCCTAAGCCAGGTGTTCATGTCTTCTTGGGTGTCGGCACTGAAGTAATAGGTTCGCATCCCAGTGTGCTCCGCCTGCGAGCCAATCACAGAGGTCTGCTTGTAAATGTACGAGCGCATACCAGTGTGGCTAGCCTGTAGGAAGAGAAAGGAGGCTGGGTCAAGTAGTGGTCAGAGGGGCACAGACATTACTTGAGAGACAGAGCACCAGATGGGTTTCAAGTCCGAGAGACAGGGGGATATCATGCTGTCCAACAAGAGAAACAACATCAAGGGCAACATAAGCACTGACCAGTACAGAAAGAGCGAATGAAGGAAATCACACAGCAGAAATACAGAGACAATAACGCCAGCCAGTTACAACCCACAAAGGCACAACCTTCAAGCAATGAGAGGAAAGATACTGTGCTATGATGGAACACAAAAAAACAAAAAGTTAGTGTCAGGGCAAAGATCCCTAACCCCAAATTTTCTTCATGAACCTGTCCCCATTTGAACCTTTTTTTTTCTTCCTACTTCCTTTTCCACAACAGTAAAAATACAACAGCTTTTATAAGGTGCTTGACAAGACAGGTCCATAAATCACAGTGTTCTGCAAAGAAAAAGCAGTTGTCTACTGAGTTATTATATTTAGCACTGACAAATTTAAAATGAATATATCTTTATATACCTTTAAAATTTAAAAGGATATTAGTTCACATTCACTTAATTATTAGATTAGATTAATGTAGCTTCAGTCTAAAGACCAAACAGTGAAGTCTGCAGCTGTTCAAATGTAGGTGAGCATTTAACAGCTAGAGAGTTTGATATTTCTCTCAAAAATTACACAGGACAGAAATAGAATCAAAGGTGAATGAATAATGGGACTCTTTAAAAAAGAAAAAAAAAAAGCAGCTAAAAGCACAGCTGTAAGCATGAGTGCTGCTCCGTGCCTCAACCTACACTATAGTAACTCCAAACTTGGTGATATCTCAGCTTGTTCCACTTCCCCAAATAGCCCTAAAATCATTTAATGCATCTCTAAATAATTTGTCTGCAGATATCGCCTACATTTCCCCTTTACTGCGCCCTAGAAAACACATGCAGAATAGTTATGTTCAGCAGGTCTTTCTGTTTGTGTAGGAGGAGACAGCAGTAATACCAGCACTACCACAGTAAGTGCATAAAAGGGAGGATTTTTTTTTTTTAGTCAAAGTAAAAATGATTTTTTTTTCTTTACTCAAAAATCAACATGTTCTTGGCTGCACTGCACTGAGGTCTACTGAGAATACCATCAGAATGGAAGTTAGCATCTCTGCCTCTCCTGCCAAATCCCAAAGTTTTGCTGAACTATGAAACCCAAGGAAAGACTAGAGATGCTTAAGCCAAGTACTGTTTGATAATTCATCTATAATACACACTCAGAGGATATTTTTGCTAAATAACTAAACATTATGTCACTGATACTGTAATTTGCCAGCAATCGTCAGCAATGGGAAAATATAGCATCAAAGAAGCAGACCGGCCTTAAATTCAATGAACAGTGTATCAGTAAGGCAGTTTTTAATTAAAGAAGTCTAAGTGTTTAGTATGCTCAATAAAGATCTCCGTGTAAATGTGGGGTTATTAGAGCTCCTTTTAAGTGAGCTGCACTCCATTGAGCACAGCTCTATAAATGTCCTACTTTTCCCTTTCCTTCCTTTTTTCCTTCCTGCAGTGTTTCAGTAGTTGGGACTGGAAGACAAATGAGAGCACCCACTCAACAACAGATGCATTTTAATTTAAAGTAATTAGCCAGTCCTCCCTGTCCCAATCCACTGTCTGAATAATGAAGGCAGGATAGAGCCGTGTGTACGGTGTGTTGCTGTGGGATCCACAGAATTTCTCAGAGATTTTCTTACTCTGTTTATAATGTGATAAAATGAATGTAATTCTTGCATTCTTGTATTACAGCGTGACAGTCGGGAACACACAAAGCATCGCTCCCACGCTGGCTGTTTAATGTACACACTTAACACGCTCATGAATAAAACAGACTGTCAGTCCTGCTGTTATATCCCTGTTAATATAAACTCTAAATAAACCCTGGCAAACAGACGCACACATGCACACGCACAACATCTGAACTCACCTCCCCTCTGCACTCCAGCTTAAACAAGCTCATTTCGGCGGTTGCAGCAAAGCACGACAAAAATAACTTGGAATATAATTCTAGTCACTATGGTAAAGTGTGGGCTTGACCCTGATGCTGCTACATATTTGAAGATCGGGGAGGTAACCGCATTCCTCACCTGATGCACACAGGAATCAATAACCTGGCAGCTAAGCAAACACTTTCATGAGCTTTAGGCAAATGGAAACAAGGGAGGGGTATGGATGGGCTACGCATTGAGGAAACCTTATTTGGACTGTATGGAGGTGAGAGGCTGATAATGCCCTCATCATGAAGGTTACAGATTATGGTTGCTGAGCTAATACATATTATCCTTTGACATATGGGATGATCAATTAAGTAAAACATGTGATAGATGATTTTGTGGGTGACTTTTTCTCATTGTGACAAGGACTAAAAAAAAAAAGTACTATTTTCCGCACTATAAGGCGCACTTAAAATCCTTTAATTAATCCTTTAAAAATCGACCGTGCACGTTATAATTCGGTGCGCCTTATGTATGAATTCTGGTTGTGCTTACTGACCTCGAACGGATTTTATGTTGTACACGGCACTCAAAAGTCTGTCAAAAATGCTTTAGTATGACTTTGGCAAGCTATGAAGCTGCACTGCTTGATGGATTGTCGGAGCAGTAAGGCTACCGTAGTCAGGAGCCTCGCGGAGTAATCCGGTTTCAAATTCTGTTTCAGGTCCCAAAGTCAAACGAACACTGCGGCGTCACTGAGAGTTAAAAACTGTCTAAATTCTTTCATCTTTAATAAAATGATCAGTGTTGCTGCTTTACCAGGTGTAACAATTAAGTTTAACATCCAGGCATACATGAAAACAGGATTTATTAAATTTAACAGAGTTAGAAGTTAGCAGGAAGTTAGCTCGCTAGTTTCCACCTAAACATGATATAGCATGTTCTAACTGAGAGATTTCTGAAAAGATTAAAACGTACAGCTCTGCTATCACTTCCAACATAAATGAAGACAGAAAACTAAACAGCAGTGATGTTTGTAGGGTTATTGAAGTTGGGCTAGCTGGTATATAATGATGTGATACGTGATCGCTAGCGACACAGCTATGTTAGCATAACATAAACTGAAGCTGGAGGATGAATGCTAACTTTTATCCACTCAATAAAAGTTAATGTGAGGTTTCCTGATGGTTAGGGACAAATGCAATTGCATGGCAGGATGCTGTAAATGGACCAAACTTCAGTCAGGAGAACAACTGAGATAATCCATCCACGATACGAGGTTATTAATTAAAGTACTGCAACAACATTGGAATAGAGCAGCTGCAAGAGAATTCAACATTAATGAATCAATGGTACGGAAGTGGAGGAAGCAAGAAGAATGAGTTGAGTAACGTTTGACTTATCTGACTGTTTTGTTTCGCTTAATGCGCCTTATAATCTGGTGCGCCTTATGTATGAAAACAGACCCGTTCATCAGCAGTGCACCTTATAATATGGTGCGCCTTATGGTCCAAAAAATACTATGATTTCCCCAGACTGGATCATCTAGGACAGCTATCGTGTCCTATCATAACAAGACTCAAAAGTCTCAAAAAGCTAAAATAAAAAATAATATTATCCATTACTCTTTGAATGGTAATGTTTTTGTATGTCACTGACATTTCTGAGATCAAATAGTATATCAACGAATGGAAAAATAATCAGATTAACCAATAAAGAAACCCTAGCTCATCTTTAGTAATCTCCTTGTAACTAGTACAAACATCTCAGACCATAGTGTAAAACAGTAAACTGTATAAAACAATATAAATGTGCTATATCCAAGCATTTGCATTCAGTACAGCTGATCTATATGTAAAGAAACAATTAAAAGATGCAGACTACAAAAAGAATCCTGCCAGCCTTTCACCACAGGTCACATCATTCATTTAAAATGTGCCATCAAAAGATTTCATGTCTCTACTCATTAAAAAATAAAAAGCACACCAGATTGAAAATATTTTTCTTTTAAGGTCATTGTGTGTCTCTTCACAGCTTCTAGTGCTCCAACTATTTTTAGATTGCTCCTTGGAAGTGTGGCTGTGACCACTTGAACTCATGAATCCGAAATGGCTGCTAGATTTCCTCTATTCAACAAAAGGGGTGGAGAGGCTCATGGTGCCAACTATGGAGAGTAACTATATAGTGTATTGGTTCAGCCAAAAGGATTTTGGCTTTTCAGTATGACGGGACACTTGGTTTGATGAACCTTCATATTCCTCAGGGCATTACAGTAACTACACACGACTCAACAAAGAAGTGGTGGAAGGTGGGAGAAAAAAAAAGAGCATGCTTCTGTTCACACTTCTACCCTGGCCTCTGGATCTTACCTTAGCAGGGCCTCAGGTCCGACTACATTTGATATTCTTGGCATAAAAGTAAAAGTCCCTTTAACACAGAAGTCAATGTTTTCTCTCTGCATAAGGTTCATGTCCAAAGTGAAACTGCAAATGTGTATCTGCAAGTGGTCTAAACAACACTTTAACAAAGTGATCCAAACTTAGCAGGAGTCCTGGAAGTGGCCCAGACAAATTTTAATCAAGCAATGTTTTTGCTTTTATCAAGCTTTTTATAACATTTCAAATTATGTTTGCTTGTATTGAAGATGACTTTGCACTTGTTTGCTGCGGTGTTTGGTTAAAAAAATATGTAGGTTTGCCATGATGTTACCCAGAAGAAAACCACAGATGTAAACTGTGAAGGGCTCAGCTGGCCTTTCACTGTCAGGACTGGAGATGTGTTAAGGCATTTCAGGGGCCAGGAAACAGTCAGGGAAACTACTTAACAACTACTCATCATAAATGTGAACTCTAGATATGTCCAAAGAACATGCTAAATATCTTGATGAAAGCAACACAGCATCCTCAGGAAGCAGCTGTCAAAACACGCCTGTTCACTCACCGTCAGCACTCTGACAGATGGCCTCTTACAGCTACAATGGGACAGGCTGCTTGATGAGAGAGAGGGGGCTGTGCTACT